CAGTTGCTGCTTGACGTAGGTTGCTAAGCCTATTAAAATTTTGCATGTGGAGGATATGAAACAAAATAATTTTTTAGGTTTTATATATACAGCTGAATAACCAAAAAATCATAAATTACTAAATAAATATCATAGAGTTCCACTGTAATTTATCAAGCTTAGTAACTAAGCTGTATTACAGTAAAAAGAAATATGAAATTTTGAGCAGACTAAAGACATAACCTACCTCTTTGAAATCTTGGTTCAAAAGAAAGAAATGGTGTCCAAACACTTTAAAATGGCTGAAAAAGCCACTAGGGGGACATTCTGAGCTTCCAATTGGTTACTCATCTCGTATATAGAAGTAAGTGTATATAAGGAAGCATTTCCAAAAATGGAAAGAGGTGGGTGGGGTGCCACTGTGTTTGATTTATTTCATGAGCAATATCTTGGCAAATTGAAAAGATAAGAGACTCTTATTTTATATTCTACCCTGTCAATATGGGTAATTTGAGTTCCTAATTCGTACAAAACTATAGACTTAGTATTTTGACATCACACACATCTAATTTGAACCAGTGCTGCATTCAACATACCACATGACACACAAAAGTTGATGTTTAACTGTGTTTTTTTTTATATTTACTTTTAAATTAAGAAATTGAGTAAGGTATAATACTAAAATTTGAATTACAATCTACAATTTGATACCAAACTTATTAATATAAATTCATGAAATAGTAGTTCAATAAAATTTTGAATGTGAGTCAATAAATGTGATAACATGGCCTTTCACCCATGACCCATCTTGAAAGGGTTAATGAAGTTGTGATATGGTGTATTAGATGGTAAATTAACCTTGAATAGAGGAATATAATATAAATTAAAAGACAAGTAATGTTATTGATAGTAAATCAATCAGCTTGACATACAGCTGTACTCTAAAAATGCTTAGAACAGCCATTGTTCCCTCTCTCTCCAAAACCACACATAAGGATAAAGAATTAATGTTTCACAGAAATTCCCAAGTTGCTGTTTCTCAATTTAGGGCAAACAAACAAACTCAACTTACGCATTAGTTTATATTATTTTTCGTAAGCAGGGTTGCGTTAGATTTCCTGCATAGTTTAAAATGCCCTTACATTTCATTGGTAATTAATAACAATAGTTATATGTTAGATTTGGTAAATCGTTGCAACATTAGCATTTAACCAAGTAATTGTTGTTGTTTTTCTAAAATTTATGAACATTTATTTTAATCTTCTTAATGCTTAGTCTTTTATACTCCAATTTATTTTAATTTTGAAATCATGTTAAGAATCAGAATGTTGTTGGTTTTTTTGGTTTTTTTTCAATATTTTATTTTAGTTTGTAATTTATTTTTCTCTTGTTTGGTGAGTTTATTTTGTGTTAGTTTGGTAAATTGAATTTTTATTAAAAAATAATAAAAAGTTTCATTTGAGTCATGCTGATTACTTAAAGGTTGAAACTTTACAATTGTTCTTTACCTGTTTTATCAATGTTTTTTTCTATTTCATTTTTTACTTCTTACAGGCTATTTACCTAATGGTCAGGAAGCTGTGGAAGCTATGTTAGCAGCTGCAAGCTTGGGCGCTATTTGGAGTTCAACATCTCCAGACTTTGGAGTCACAGTAGGTGACATTGTTGATAATATGGAAGGTTTGAAAAGACTTAATTCATCTATTTGGAAATCACGTTTTGATTTGCTAGTGCAGTTCTTCATCTTGTGATTTCAGATCTGTTAAGCAGAATTACTTATGTTAATTATGACAGCTGTTTTAGAATAAATACAAATAATACATTGTGCTGTTTGTTTTACAAAGACAGAAACTTTAATATCACACTTTAAAATGTGGTGAACTAAGAAAAAATAAACAATGTAATATAACAATAATTCCAAAACAAAACATTAAACTTCAGTGGTTTTCCATGTGAGATTTCTGTTATGTTCAACCATTCTTTGTATGAAAACTAGAACTCTTGATTTGATTTTTAGGCTTACTTCATAGCCTGTTTCTTTGCAGATTTCATATTATTATGAAAAAAAATCTTTGTTTTGTTAATGATGATAGTTTATCCCCCACTCAAAAAAAAAAAAAGAGGGCCAAAGACTGCCTGTCGGAGTCACCTGTTTTAACCACTTGCACCACTTAATAGTAGTGTGTTGTCTGTCACTCAGTCAGTAGACACTAAAACATCACATAAGGGATGCTTAACATTGCAATTTGTACTGTTGTGACATCAGTAAAACGTGCATGCTGTGAATCACGAGAAGAATTATGCACTCTGTAGACTACAACACAGCATTACATATAAACTTCAAAAGCAAGAAATACAAATATTTATTATTCTGAATTTTGGTTTTATTTATTCTTTAAAGAGAACACTTTTGGGGACCCTGCAAAAGTACATCTAGTAATAAAAGTGTTTTGAGGTGGATAAGGTGTTCACTGTTGCTTTTTACTTCATGCTTATAGATGTATCCTACAGCAGTGTATGAGTAAAGTAGCTGTTTCTGATCATTTGATAATTTTTTTTTCTTATTTCTTCTCAATTCTTTCTTGACAAGTAACACATAAAAAAGTAAAAGTTTATGCTTCGTGACTTGTTTTTGTGAAGTCTTCTAAAATTAGTAAAGCTTTTTTTTATTACTAAATTACAAATTTGGCATAGTTTAAAAAATAGTTATGATTTACATTAAAGCATTAGTCATTGATTTTGTTTAGAGATGTTGAAATGTTTGATTTATTTTTTACACATTCCAGGGAGTTCTTGATCGATTCCTTCAGATCAGGCCCAAGTTGATATTTTCTGTGGATAAAGTTGTATATAATGGAAAGCTTCATGATCATCTGGAAAAGTTACGTCTCGTTGTTCAAGGTTAGTAATCAAAGTAATGTGTTAAATTTGCCATTTTCATCCATGATGTTACAAAATCAACAAAAAAAATGACCATAGAATTGTTGTAGGTTTGAGGTATTAAAAAGTGCCTTTCTATCTGGTAGAACACTCACCTGGCATCTGGAAGGTCTAAGGTCTCGTTGTTCAAGGTTAGTAATCAAAGTAAGGTGTTAAATTTGCCATTTTCATCCATGATGTTACAAAATCAACAAAAAAAAGATGACCAAAGAATTGTTGTAGGTTTGAGGTATTAAAAAGTGCCTTTCTATCTGGTAGAACACTCACCTGGCATCTGGAAGGTCTAAGGTCTCGTTGTTCAAGGTTAGTAATCAAAGTAAGGTGTTAAATTTGCCATTTTCATCCATGATGTTACAAAATCAACAAAAAAAAATGACCATAGAAATGTTGTAGGTTTGAGGTATTAAAAAGTGCCTTTCTATCTGGTAGAACACTCACCTGGCATCTGGAAGGTCTCAGGTTTGACCTTGGCCCACAAATAACAAAGTAAATTATATTATCACAGAATCTTCATCAAATGCTTTCATTTACATTTTATAGGTGTTATTCGGTAAGTGAAATTTCCAAAAGATGTTGATAATCTGTATTATTTTGATTGAAGTTGCATACAGTCTTAACATTAGCTATCAAATATTATTCCCTGGCTATAAAGTATTACCTACTATTTTGTACCACTAGGCCTTTTAATCACCAATTTTCAGTAAAATAGTGGTACAGTCATATCTCCAAGCTTGGTTCTTTACTCATAAGTTAATATAAATCAGTATTAAGATGCTACGTTTTTAAAAGTAAGAAAATGAAAAATAAAGCTTAAAAAGGAAATCTTTGTCACTTACTTTGTATGAAAATAGTTCCAAGAGAACAGCACAAAGTTTGCTCATTAAAACTTGAACATGAAAAACATTAATTATGTTATGAATGTAAAACAGAAAGTGTATAGAATCCATCTTGTATAATAAAACCATGGCTTCTTATAATTATGAATCTTTAAATGCTCATCACATTTGTTATTTAATTTCAGTTTGTTTTTATTCACTGTAGACTTAACTTGTTCTTTTAACCTTCTTCGTCTCAAGTGGACATCTTGAGTATCCCAAATTTTGCCACCTGCTGTTATAAAAGATAATTTAATGAGTGCTTTGTAACCATTTTTCAAGCATGGTTTTATTTTACTGTGTGTTCTTCATTGACTCTGTGGTAAACTTGAGGGCTTATAAGCTATAAGTTTGGGCTCAATACCTGTGGTGGGATTTAAAAACAAACAGTGGAAGGTATGGTGTCCAAAGAAACTGAGCTGTAATGTTTTTAACTACAAGATACCGTGATTTCAACAGAAAATGTGATAACCACACCTAAAAACACAACGTCTGAAAATCTGTTAATCTTTACTGATGTCAACAGAAAATGTGATAACCACACCTAAAAAAAGAGTCTGAAAATCTGTTAATTTTTACTGATGTCAACAGAAAATGTGATAACCACACCTGAAAAGAACATCTGAAAATCTGTTAATTTTTACTTTTTTGCTACTTTTAAAAAGATTGAATAAATTGGTTTAAAACATTTGCTTAAATTGCATAGTTCTTTTTTCTTTCCATAAAATTTCAGGTCTTTCAGATATAGAAAAAGTTATAGTTATTCAATTAAAGAAAACTCTTGGTAGTGGAGAAAGCCAATTTTCTTCTGTTCCAAAAAGGTAATCACATTATTTCCTTAAATACAGTATGTTAACCAATTACTCTGTTTATGTATATATATATGTGTGTGTGTGTGTGTGTGTGTGTGTGTGTGTGTTAGCTAGTGTATTTTGTGTATTGTACAATCCTCGCATCATGCTCCTTTAAAAGTATGATTTATCAAAATAAACCATAAACATGTTGGGTTAATCCTTGAATTGTAAGGCAAAACATGAAATTTTTTTTGAAAAAAAAAAAGTCTTACTTGAAAGATCATTAAATCAATTTGATCTTTGAAATTGTTTACTTTTAACTCTGGTCTCTAGACTTTATGACTTGTAAAGCAGGGAAAAATGTAACAAAATTAATGCTGTTAGAATTTCTAAGATTAGAAATATGTTTATCATTTAATACTGAAGTATGAAGGCCTGATTAAGTATTATTGTTTGTTTACAAAATATTGAATTTTTGGTGTAGCTGTTAGCTGTCCTAAATAAAAACAACAACAATGTAATAAACTGAGAATATACGTAACATGACATTTATGTATTGTGATGATAAGTATTTGGGTATCAATATTTGGTAATTGCACTTTCAAAATTGTTTATTAATAAAAAAAAGTGAATATTAGCTGCTTCGAAAGAAAAGTTTCCATACTTATCAAAATATGCAAGAATAAGGATTATCTTATGTAATAAATAATAATTCATTTAATTTTGGAATGTAGTTTACCATAAAGATCAGTGTAAAGAAGAAACTTCTTGTTTCGAGTACCAGCAAGTTAGCTTATCTTGTTCTGAAACAATGCCATTAACTGAAAGAAGTGTCAGTGCAAACTAATTAGGTGTTTATTTACTACTGCTTTCTCTGCCAGTTTACATATTGTTTACAAGCTGTGAACACAGTATTCAAAAAACTTCATGTAGTAAAAAAAACCAGAGTACAAACTTTTTCATAGTTTTGTGCTTTTCAAGACAAACTTATAGAAACTTCAGTAGAGATATGTACTGAAATGTATGTTAGAGTTTACCGTTATACTAAACGACATATTTTGTTAGGTATACAATTAAACTCGGGTCTTCTTTAACTAGCCTTGCATACAGAAAATTGGAGATTGTTTGTTAAGTAAAGTCTCCAGATGTACGCAACTGAATTCATGCTGCTGAGAAAAAAAGCATTGGATTCTTGAAGGACATGAAATAAAATCTTAATATTCTACAGTGAGGTAGTGTCTAATTGGATATATTGTTAAACCTTAATGGTTTTTTTTTCTAGAGAGTAGTAAAGCCATACTATATATAGATTTTTCTGTGAAACTTATTAAACAAAAGTTTTTTTTTTTGTACTGTTATAGATGTAAAGCTCGATAAATAAATTTTATGTACTTGACTAGGTTTGAAAAGCCTGCATCGAGGATTGGGGTCAGCCTGGGTTTAACTGTTCTTCTGTAGAGCTTATTGTTTAGAAAGACTGATGTGGAACTGTATTCAGGAGACGTGGATATGGATATCATATTGAACACAGTTGTTTAGTATCAATTAGGCAAGATTTTAAATTAGATCAGGAAAATGAAACCATTACCATGACCAGCTGAGAAATGCAGTTTTGAGTAGATTCAGCTCTAATAAACCAAGCTAAAGACTATTAATATTTGGTTTCAACAAAAATGCACAGTAGAAGTGTATTAAAGAATATTTGTTTATCATAACATGTTGAAGTTTATTTACATATTTTTAGTTATAAATTACTATGCTACAAGAATGTTAGTTTGATTTGTGTATATGTACATAATCCTGAAATATTTTAGGATTTTAATTAAAGTTGTATATGCAGAGTAAAGACTTGAATGGATGGATGGAGGTTTTCTATAGACATGTCTATACTACAATGACTTGTATCAGATAGAGGGTTAAAAGTGTAGATACTAAAAGCCGTCTTTATTTTAAGTATTTTTTATTTAATTGGAAAGTAAGTGTTAATAATTCAAGCAACTTTACTTGTTTTCATAGTTGTTCTCTTGAAGACTTCCTAGAAGTTGGGAAAGATAAAGAAGGTAACATTCCCAACTTAGAATTTGTTCAAGTTCCATTCAACCACCCACTCTGTATCCTCTATTCTTCTGGTACAACTGGACCTCCAAAGTGTATGGTTCACTCTCATGGTGTAAGCACAAAAAAAATGTCTTGTAATAAAAGTGTAAAAACAAAAATTGTGAAGTCTGTTGTTTGCTTAATACGTAAGAAAAGAATCATTTAAGCTAAGCCTGCTCTTTGCTGAGGGTTTATAACTCTATATCTTTTGGTGTATGCATCTCTTATAGTGAAAGCTTGCATTATTTCTGCAATGCATGTAAATGTTTAGATTTTTCTTTGATTTTAAGTACAATAATTTTGTGATATTTACTTATTAAATTCCTTTTATTATTTTTAACTTTGACTTTATTGCTTGGGATTGTGGTAATATAAATGATTATTATTACTTCTATATAAAATTGTAAATGTGATTTATTTCCTTAAAAATAATTTTATTAGGGAATGAACTGCTTTAACATTATGAAAAATAAATATTAGTTTATAACATTGTCATTGAAAAAAGTGTTTGAAAACTTTATAACACCATTTTGTGTGGTTTTATAGACTTTTGCCTTCAAAAAACTATATCAAATGATTAAAGTTTAACATAACATTAAAAGGACAGCAAGGGACCTTTTGATCTGTCTAGACTGTCCTATCCACTAAATTAAACTGAACCCTTAAAAGAAAATAAACTCAAAGCCATCCTTCATTATTTAAATACTTGTCAAGCTTTCCCTGAATCTCTCTTAAATTAACTGCATCCACTACATCTGAAGACAACCTGTTCCAGGAGCCAATCATCCTGTAAGAAAAATAGTCATCTTAACTGAAGATGACTTCTTCCCCACCAAAATGTATATTTGTGTCCCCTAGTCTTACCATTCTCACTATTAAATATGAAAAAAGACAATGTAGCAACACTATCAATTCCCTTAACAATTTCAAACACCTCGATCAGATCCTCTCTAATTCTTCTTTTTTCAAGAAATTAACAAGTTCAAAGATCTTAACCTATCCTCATATGATAACCTTTTCATCCCAGAACCTTCTCTGAACTCTGAACCTCCAATAACTCAGTGTCCTTTTTCAGGTAAGGATCCCAAGAGTGAACACAATGCTTCCAATTTGGCTTAACCAATAACCTATACCATGATATTATAACATATTTAGACTTGTATTCAATATTTCTGTAGATACAACCTAAGATCCCGTTTGCCTTACCACTAGCAAAAACACATTGTTTGGATGGCTTAAGAGACTGATCAATCAAAACACCAAGATTTTTTTCTGTTAAGGTTATTCCTATCAGAATTATGCATATAATTCAAATTATGATAACTCTTATACATTACCTTGCACTTGTTATAATTAAAAGCCATCTGCCATTTATTGGGCCAATTCTCCAAATAATCCAAATCCTTTTGTAAGACAGTAGCATCTTCCTCACAGTCAACAACACCCAGAACTTTAAATTTATCAGCAGAATTAAATAATCTATTGACTATTAAAGTTTAGTGAATTTATAAAACTTAGTTTGACAACATTTGTAAAATTACAAAAAGAAAATACTATAATTTGTGCTGAAAAGTAGATCAGTTGACTAAGTATTTGTTTCCAGGCTACCTGTTCTCTAACACAGTATTATTAACATATTTTACCTCTAAATATTGTATACTATTTAGAAAAAGTCTTTCAATTTTTGTGATATCATATAAGCCCTAGTGCTCAATTTGTCAAACTTATAAATTTAATATCTGTAACAGACCCAGCATGGCCAGGTGGTTAGGGTACTTGATTTACAATCTGAGGGTAGCAGATATGACTCCCCATTCCACCAAACATGCTCTCCCTTTCAGCTGTGGTGGAATATAATGTTACAGTCAATCCCACTATTCGTTGGTAAAAGAGTAGCCCAAGAGTTGGCAGTGGGTGGTGATGACTAGCTGCCTTCCCTCTAGTCTTTAACTTCTAAATTAGGGATGGCTAATGTAGCCATGTAGTTCTCATGTAGCTTTGTGTGAAATTCTAAACAAACAAACAATATCTATAACACATTTCAATAAATCAGTGTCCTTTCTACATTTTTGAGGGTCGATGACGATGTTCTCTATTCCTCACTTCCTGAGCTAAATTTCCTATTTCAAGCTTGTCATTTCTAGTCTGTTTTCAAAATCCATTAGCTTGTAACTCAAAAGTAATAAACTCTCTACTAGCTCATAATTCACAAAATGTACTGTTTAAGTATATTTTGTATTTGTTTGTTTGTTTGTGGTTAAGCACAAAGGTACACTATGAGCTATCTTAGCTGTGCCTACTATGGGTATTGAAACTCAATTTCTAGTGTTATTAATCCACAGACTTACCACTGGTCCAGCACCATCTTTTATAACTCAAAGCAACAAATCATTTAATAGTTTTTAAATTATATAACAAACCCTCCTCTAGTTTTTAATTCAATATAAACAAATCTTCCACTTGCTTGTAACTCCAAGAATATAATGTCATTGAGCCAAGTGAGTTTCTGCCTGCCTTTTGTCCTTCTTCGTTTGATTTTAGCCATCACAATATCACCTATACCTTTCTTCCACTTTTGTATATTTGTACAAATATTTGTACACTGAACAAGGCCAGGTTGAAATACTAGATTTGAAATGTGCATGTTATAAATGTATAATATTAGTGTTTACAAGAAGAAAATGTCTTTTTGTACATTATTGTTTGTATTTTTAGGGGACATTGATCAAACATTTAGAGGAACACTTGCTTCAGGGAAACATGGATCGGAATGATGTGATAATGTACTACACTACGGTAAGGTTTTTTAAAGGCTATCTGAGTGTGACAAGTTAGATGTATTGTAAAGTATATCTTCAATACTGTATTTTGTCTTGATCGTACGTAAGATGTTTGGGCATCACTATAACAGTGGTCAATTCTTTGTTCTACAGATCATGACATGGCCAGATGTTGTGTTTCAGTTCATCTTATCTTAGCCTGAAACTTTAATTATAACTATCTATATAATTAAAGGGTTAATGTGTTTGTGTGCATAAGAAGCTTTTTAAAATATAATTAAACTATGCAAAAATGAAATTAGGAGTGGAGAAGTACAAACAGTGTACCATATGTATAATGGAGGGAAGGGTGTAGATAGCACTATGCATTACAGAGGGAAAGGTATTTGGGAAATAATTGATCTCAGACAGCAGTGTTTGTATGTGAATTTGTTCATTTGTTTATAGACACTTAAAGTACTGGTACCATCAAACTGTTGATCTGATGAAGTCTCTCTACATAAGTTGATCATTTTATTATTTTTGATCAGACCATTCAGCTCAAAGTGTCGTTTGTATTAGAGGTGTTTGGTGGGTATCACATGTTGTGGAATATGTTTAATCCACTTAACTGTAGGGCAGCAGAAGTGGTCCTGATTGGTTTTACATTTTATAACTTCGTGCATTCAAATACAAAATACCACAACCAACAAGAAATGTTTTGTATGTGAAACACAAGTTTTCCATCTAGTTTTGAATTACAGATCAACATGGAGTATGAAAAACATCTGCACTAATACAAAAAATTTACCTTTTTCATGAAATTCCAAAATTTGGAACTTTCTTAAGAAGCAAAATAATTTTATCGTTCCCCTGATATTTTTTTTGTATTATCATGTATTTTGTTTTTCTATTTTTATCAAAATGTGCAGTATGATTCGTAAATCCTCTCAGATGCGTAGAAAATCATCTGATACTATAAATAATTGTTTTAATCTTTAAAATAGCATGTGAAGAAAACTGAAAACTACAAATAGTTGTATTTTTACTCAGCCCCAACAAGTAGTCGCTTCCATGTGAATTAAAATTGTTGTTATAATCAACTTCTCATAAGTATCTACATATTCATGTTTTCTGCAGAATAGATTTTACTAATATTGCTGTTCTCTGTATATCTTAACTATGTAAACAATGAGGATTATATAAACTTATGGTATTACTTACAAAGAAGTTAAACTTGGAATTTTTCAAGCTTAAGATATGTTAGTTTAACGAATGTTACAAATTTGTAAGACCATTAAATTTCTAAATGAAACGTGACATCTCTACCATAGACAGGTTGGATGATGTGGAATTGGATGGTAACTGCACTTGCCGTTGGAGCAAGTCTTGTACTTTATGATGGCTCACCATTCATACCAAGCCCATCAGCTATGTGGGACCTTGTGGATAAAACAGGAATTACTATTTTTGGAATCAGTGCCAAATGGCTAGCTGCAGTGGAGGCTAAGGAAGTGAAGCCCAGTAAATATACATGTTTATTTTTGATTCTGTATTGAGTACAATGTTTTGTTTACTTTATAGAGGATATATGCATTATGTTCCATTAACTTAAATGTAACATTTTTGTTCTCAATAAAACTTTTTAAGGATCAATGCATCTGGCAGATTTTACATTTCATACTTAAGTTGTGGAAATTGAAAATGTGTCTTAAGTTATAGAATGTGGCCTTTAATTTCTTTTTTTTTATATATAAAAACATTATTGCTGTGACTTTTAAAGGTATTATTTTAAATGTAACTTGTCCTTAAAATGATAAGGAAGAGCTGAAAAACAATATTGTTTTACTCTCATTTAACTTTTGTGCTGTCACAACTATTAAATCAGAAGAACTATTTATGGTATTAGATGTTTCTTTAGTTTAGAAAAGAGTACTTCAATGTATCTTAAGCTACAGTCCATTTTGATTACAAGTATAAAGAATGCAGTGTTCTATATCAAGTGAGTTAAAATATTTAGATAATTTATAACCTTAAGGCTTTATAGAGGTGGACCTTCTTTCTTCAGGAGTAAATTTGAAAGCAGAAAAGTCTGCTATTCAAAAGAGCTCAGGCTGTTTTGGGTTTTTTTTTTTTTATTGTGATTTAGTCTTTATTTTTATTTTGTGTGTTTTGCAAGTGTTATGAATTAATAAGTTATAAAAAATATTGTAGTACATTTCCAAGTGATGGAGAATTATTCCTCTTTCTCTGGTTGTAGGAGAAACCCACAGTTTAAAGACCCTTCACACAATCTTGTCAACTGGGTCTCCTCTCAAGCCTCAAAGCTATGATTATGTGTACAAGCACATCAAGTCAGACATCCTACTGGGTTCTATCACTGGTGAGTTATAAGTGTTTCAGCCATTTCCAGTCTATTGTAGATAGAATTTGGCCCATTATTCATTGCTGAGTAGTTTCAATAGCATTTAACTTTACATAAGGGATTGTGACTTTTTGTCAGACCTCAGAGATAGGACTATCCTATGTTAGTCTGACAATCACTTTTTTTTTATTGGGTTTTCATTCATACTTTATGAATTTATTTCATTATATTAGTTACAGTCTCTTTGGTTTAATCCTTGGTGAATTAGATGTTTATATAGTATTATTGAATTTGAATTTCTGGGCTACAGCAATATAAATTTTACAGTAAGCTGCTTGTTAAATCTTTACATTTTTTATCGTTAGAGAAAGTAAAAAAAGAAATTTTCTAGACTTTAAGGTTAAAGAACCCAGGGGAGAAAAGTGTGTGTGTATGTATGTGTGTGTGTGTGTGTGTATATATATATATATATATATATATATATAATAAATAA